CTATGGCCAAATAACTCATACTGAGCACACAATCAATCTAACATAGAACTGAGATGATTGGAAAAGTTGGGCACACAGATGCAGAATAGAACACAGAGGGTCTAAGCCCTGACAATGTAGAAAATATTCATCAAAAAAGTAGAATATTTGGAAAATTATCATTGCACATACTGGAAATTGACAGCTGTGTCCGCAAAGACACGAGCCTAAAACCCTGATCTTACCCCAACCGCGGATCTGCCCTCCTGGAGGTGTCCTATCTGTCATCGGCACTTCCATCCTCCTCATTGCCTGGGGTTTCCCCCCTTTCTGTCACACCCATAGTAAGTCCGTCATTCAAAGACATTCAGAATCCAACTAGTTGTCCCTCCTCCACTGCTGTCACCCTGGTCCCAGACACATCCTAGCCAAAGCCTCTGAACAGCTCTCCAGCTGAAATTCCTGTCCTCCACACAGTCCTCTTTCAAAACAGAATGCCAGTGTGATCCTTTTAAAGCATGAGGCAGATCACACCATCTCTCTTCAATTACCCAGCTAGCCTCCTAACTTCTGGCTTCTGCACGGCAGCAGCTGAAGAGAGCGCATCACCAGCCTCACCATCACAACTTTCATGCTCACCATGCCCACATCCCACCTGGGCAGAGGCAGGTCCTTGCAACGATTGATGGGGACCCAGGGCAGGAGTCTCCTCTCCCGGGATCTCCTTTCACTAACTCTGCCACAGCTGCAGCATCCTTCTTGGTGTTCCTGGATCATTCCAAGCAACACCTTCCCCACAACCCCACTTCCCACCCCCAACTTGAGCACTAGCTGGCCCCTCACCTTCAGCTGTCCCTCTGAGGGCTGGAGGATGGCACTCATCTGTCTTTCAAGTCTCTCCTCAGACTTTACTTACTCCTGGGGTATGCTGATGATGCTATTTTAAATGCAAACTACTCCCCATTTTCCTTAGTGTCACCCTCAGGCATGCTCTGATTCTTCTTGGTGGGCATTCCCATGACCAAGTATCCCTGGAGGTCAAAGGGCAGCCAGAGAGAGCAAAGGAGGCCCAGGCCAGGTCCCAGGCTGATGTGTCATCTATTCTCTTGCATTTGCAGTCCCGCTTTGCTCCTCGGCAGGTAACAAGGAAACGGCCCTGGTCCTCAGGACAACGACTGGAACTATTTTCCCCCCACTGTAAGTGACATACAGTTTGGAGAATGGCATAAAGCTGTGGACCTCTGGGAGTACAGGTAAGATCTACCGTAGAAAGAAGCCCTGATTTCTGTTTTTTAAAATCTCTTTTAGACAAGAGGCCTCATTTGTTCATGTAAAAAACAAAATTGAGAAAGAGAATTGAATGTCTTAGACTTTGTGTAGCTAGATGCAAGGTCAAAAATGTAATGACATTATTTTTTAGCAAAGACTGTTTCATTTCTGCAATAACTACCTTTAAACTGCAGTGATTTACCCTGGAATTCTCCCTTCCCTGAATTAAATTGTTGCATCTTTCAAGGAAACAAGCTGAATCCATTGTGTTTACACAGTTTTGTCATTTATGAGGGAGCTACACTTCAGCTCTTAGTGATCATTTCAATGAAAGAAAACATGTGCCATAAGCGAGGCTAGATTTATCTTAAGTAGTAGATTTATTACTTGCATAATTAAAATAACAATATACATTGCTTCTCTGTCAGGTTGGAAAATGTAAAAAAAAGAAAAGCCTAATATTCATATTATTTTGGTTATAAGTGACATATACTACTGCAAACTGAGGTGGGATACGTAAATGAATAAAATGCTGGCAAATCATCAATACATATTGAAAGTCATAAAAATTATTTAATTTTGAGCCAGCACCTCTACTTATAGAAATTTATCCCCAGGGAAAAACGAACACATATACAAAGATAAATGTGATAGAAGTCATTATTATATTTTTCTAAGAGAAAAACTGGCAAAACTCAAAAATATGACATTCAACAGTAGCGTTGAAGATATCTAGTTGGCAAGTATCCAACTCTCCCTCTGACTTAGGAAAATAACACACATTATGTCCATGATGGCTTACAGACCCTTTATAGCCAGGGGCGACCTGGCCAGTGATCCAGGGAGGTGCTGGCAAAATTCTTCTGTGATGCACATTCTGGAAAGGACCTTAAAGGGAAGTGACTCATGTGGGAGGGGCAGCCATCTCTCTTTGCTCTTCCTCCTCCAGGGAAATATGAAAGGAAGATGACACTATAGCTTGGTGGCCATCATCTGAGAATGAGGAATGCTGCTAGGAGAGGCAGAACTCTTCCTAACACATAAGGAGTTTGGGCACCTGATGACTTAGCCAAGCCAACAAACTAGTCCTGAGCTGTCTACACCCAGAGTCCCCTTATGAGAAAAATAAACTCTTGTAAATTTAAGTGGATGAACTCAATCTTAACTAAAGTAATTAGATAGATGTAATTACTGATGGGCTAAGATAAACATCACACAGACATTAAAATGTCATATTAACCACCATATTTGTTGTTACAGCAAGACATACATAGCATATTGTTAACTGAATAAAGAAGATTATAAGCTAGCAACAATCATATGATCGAAAACTTTAAAAATGTGTAATGTGTGTCTATGGGTATACAATTGCTTGGGTACAGGACTGAGAGGCTAGAGACAAAAAATGTTTGCAGCAATTATCTTTGGTTATGTTTGAGTGATGTTATTTTGGGGGTATTCAGCTTTTTCAAAAATTGCAATTTCTAATTTTTTTCTTTGATAACTTGATATTGCATATGAAATTTAAAGACAAAAAAGCTACTACTACAACTTAATTTTTAAACTAGTGGTAAGAAGGGATAAATGTCAGTAATATCCAAGACAGAGGAAGCATTATTTAATCTATATAGAAATACTAGCAAATAAAAAGAAATAGAGATAAGTGAGCAAGTAACATGAATAAGAAATTTCCCAAAGGAGAAGTAGAAGTGGTCAGTTAACATAAGATAAAACATATCACACAACTTTTACAATCTAAGTATGCAAATTAAAGTGAGAAGTCATTTTCAACCATCAGGTTGTAAAGACTATTTTTTTTTTTTAAAGATCTTATCTAGTTGGTGAGGATGCTGGGCCACATACACCCACCCACACTGTTGGTGGCCTAAGTGACCTTAGACAGTACAGAGTAAGAGCCTTCTATATGGCTGGTGCCATTTCACTTCACTTACACTTATGCATGTTGAATTAAAATACAGGAGTGTTCATTTGCTGCAGTATTTATGGGAGTGAAAACTTTAAACACCGTCAGGGAGAGAGAGAGAACACCTGTATAATGACAAGCATTAAAAATAATGTCGAAGAAGGCAAATGTCATGGAAAATGTCCATAATATCAAATACGCATCTTGATAGAAACTAAATTTATGCTGTTTATCTGTTTCCATGTAATAATGTACGATGGAGCTTCAAATATGGCAGGAAATAAAAAGTCATGGGGGCAGAGACTCCGAATAACAGGCTTTTATTTTTGAAGAAGTCCTTTTCACATGGACAGTGGATGTGCTGTGTGACAGGGGAGTCGCCTCAGGGATTTAAAAAAATTTAGTTGTTCTCCCTATCAGTGTCTAGCACCCTGTTCCCCTCTTCTTTACCTTCCTTCTCAAAAGACAGATAGCAGGAGGGTTGCAACAAAGGTACCATTTGTTTTTCCTTTGATCATTGTTGTTTTCATAATGAGAAAATGCAGCATGCTATTTATTTTATTTTATTTTAGAGATGGAGTTTTGCTCTTGTTGCCCAGGCTGGATTGCAATGGCGGGATCTCAGCTCACTGCAACCTCCACCCCCTGGGTTCAAGCAATTCTCCTGCTTCAACCTCCCAAGTAGCTGGGATTACAAGCATGCAGCATCATGCCTGGCTAATTTTGTATCGTTAGTAGAGACAGGGCTTCTCCTTGTTGGCCAGACTGGTCTAGAACTCCTGACCTCAGGTGATCCACCTGCCTTGGCCACCCAAAGTGCTGGGATTATAGGCATGAGCCACCATGCCTGGCCTCAGCATGCTATTTTAAAAAGAAACATCTAGAGTATAAATCATGATTAAGTCAACAAGAATACAAATACCTCACAATAATTAAACTTAGATGCTATGTTTTAGACTGTTGGAAAAAAAGATCGTGATTGACTGATTATTTGATCTCACCAATACATATTTGGCCCTCAACTTTTTTGTATTAATAAATACAGAACTGAATTCAAGTGTCTAAATGAGAAAAGAAAGACAACTTCCAATATGTTTTCAAGTACTGTTAAGAAAGCTTTCTGAAGAAACTAATCAAATGAACAGAAATTATTTTTCCAAAGTCTAAAATGATTCCACCCTTCGTTTCCATGTTATACATTTCTACTTGTGGAAAACCTAAAACCCAGGAGCTACTCTCTGCATTAGAAGAGGAAACATGATTAGGAGTAGAAGCAGGGAACATGAGACCCTCACAACAGGACATTGGTTGGGCGTGTTTGTTTTTAAAAAGAGCATACCAAGGGGATGATGTGTAATGTGTATATTCTAAGGTAATCAAGGGAATAAAACAATCAATGATATTATCTTTAACTTTCTAAGCCGATTCATATATCTGAATACTGGGTAAATAATTTCCCAGCTATCAGTAGTTCTCACAATTTAAAGTCACATCTCTTCATGTGCGAGTGTGCAGTGGTGAGACCATGGATATGTAACACAGGTGGGCAAGGTAGGACCTCCTAAGTGCTGAAACAACCTGCATGAATGACCTTCCATCCCTTTGAGGTCTTTCCAAGGGCACGTTATGTAGAACAGACACAGTGTCAGTCTGAATAAAAACACCTAGGTAGACGACTAGGAATGCCTGGGAGTCAATGGTAGGCTTGGTGGAAACATGTACATATCGACTTCCAAGAAACCTCTCTGGAAATCTAGAAATGCTCATCCAATCATTTAGAACATAGCATTTGTTTGGCAGGTAACAAGCAGATCAAGTAACTCCATACCTTTAGAGAATTTCCACACGATGGTAGGTACCGGGTAACCCTCAGCAGAACAATTGAGGATGACAGCTTTGCCATAAATCCCGTCCTGGTCCCGTGGCTGAACCACAAATTTGGGAGGAACTGAAAAGAGAGAAATATCACCAGCAATTAAGACTAGACCAAAAACTGATTAAAGGTGTGATTTTAAGAAACTGATTCATTTTAATGAACATTAAAATATGAATGCTGTTCTATGTGCATGGGACAATAAAAACACTATTGGCAGTTTGGGACAAATTAAGGCAGTAATCTCACTGCTGAAACATTTTCTGATTCATATCAATGAGCTTTTGTCGCAGGTAAAAGCCCTTTGCACTAGGAAAAACTGGCCTCCAGGGAGGAAGTTTGACTAAACCAAAGGAAGGGAACATGTTGCTTTTGATTGTGTTATCAAAAATATACAGGAATTTACTCAATGGAAAATTGAATCAGAATCACCATTTAAAGAACAGATCAAATATATATTTGTGGCTTAAATAGTAATTATCAAAGATAAGTATTCATTTTGGGTGTGAACTGGTCAAAACATTTGATGCTGATTTTTCCTCTAAGAGAAGACAAAGGGAGAAATAATAGTTACCCCCTAAAGGCAATAAAGAATACAATGTGGGACTGAACTTTTCCAAAAATTCTGGTGAGGACACATAAACAGTTATGCCTGGTGTCAGCACCCTGGCAGGCCCAAGGGGGACTATGGAGAACCGTTGTAGTGAGGTACCATGAAGGTTTTCTAGTGTGCCTATAATAAATAAGATATTAAGTGACTGCTTATCTGGTGAATGTTGTGAGATGCTGAAAAGACTCATCCTTACCTAAAACATAAACATGACTTAACTTAAAACATATCTGCCATCCAGGTGCAGTGGCTCATGCCTGTAATCCCAGCACTTTGGGAAGCCGAGGTTTGTGGATCACAAGGTCAGGAGTTCGAGACCAGCCTGGCCAATATGATGAAACCCCATCTGTACTAAAAATATTAAAAAATTAGCCAGATGTGGTGGTGGACATCTGTAATCCCAGCTACTCGGAAGGCTGAGGCAGGAGAATTGCTTGAACCCAGAAGGCGAAGGTTGTGGTGAGCTGAGATCGTGCCACTCCACTCCAGCGTGGGTGACAGAGATTCCATCTCTCTCTCTCTCTCTCTCTCTCTATACATACACACACACACACACACACACACACACACACATATATATGTGGTGCATAAGCATATTATTTGAGATAAGTCATTAGGATTTTAACATGCATCACATCTCTTAGAAAGAAGATATGCATTATCCTAGGAAAGGTAGCATCTGAAAGTATTCCAGTCCCCAAATCTTTCCCAGCAGATGAACGATTCATTACAGGGTAGACTTTCAATGAGGCAGTCATAAACCATGTGAGAGGTGAGGAATTATCTACACCATATAGTAAATACTTGGAAATTCCTGGTAAGGCTAATCTTGTCAGCCTTGCAAGAACCAGAATTCCTAATTTTAAGACAGAAATGTGGGTCCATGTGCTAGAGGTAGATAGGAACTCCAGCCACCACACACGATGGGCTAAGAAGATGGTTAGGGCCTATGTTAGCAAGGGGCTTAGAAGCATGTTAAAATGGTCTGAGCCAAGGTGGAGGTCACTTTGGCCATAAAATAACAAAGGAGGAAGGAAAAATGTCAAGGTACAAGAAGCAGCTGGAGATGCAATTCACTGCAGTGTTTCTGGAGACAACATTGCTTTTAATTTTCTAGCCTTGCTTTCTGTAGAAAGATTTACAAATGAAAAAGCACCAGAAAATAATGGCTACTAGCATAAAGCCAAGTGTTAAATACATTGGCCTGATGTCCAGCTCTGATATTTCCTGTTGGGCAATTTTGTTCAAACCATAAAATGGCTCTTGGTCTCAGGTTTCTTATCTGAATATTGGAGATAATTATGGAACTCACTTTTAAGGATTGTTATGAAGATCGAATAAATTAAGATTAGAAAAGTTCTCAAAACAGTGGAGATATTAAGTGCTGTAGGAGTGTTGGTTAATTTAGTAAATGCAGGTATGTTTAGCTTTGACATATTTTAATGAGAAAAGTTACCAACTTGCAAATGAAATAAATAATTTACACAGCCAATGGGTCTCTGAGATATTGCTTAACTAAGAAGCAATGTTACCTCATGTAGATAGTTTTCAGAGACAACTGTAGCTAAGAAAACATAAATACATTTAAAATAAGATAATAAAGAATGACTGTTTCCAGGTGAGAAAATTATCTTAAATAAATATGGTAGAGATTATATAGAGAAAGTTTTCTAGTAAAAGTTACCAGTCAACCTCAAGGGTAGGTGACAAAGTTGAAGATATGCCAAAATCATTCTCCCCGGGGTGAAAGGGAAATCTGCAGCCATCCTCATTCTGTGCTCTATTTGGCTCAAGTTCTGCCAAAAGCAAGAAATTGCTCATCAAATGGACAGGTAGAAAATCTCTTGCATTTCCTCTGGAAGCATGTCAAATTTATAGTTGATCCATGACCCCTTCCCTCAATTTGGTTCTAATCCAACAAAATGTTCCTCAAAATTTCATAAAAGTTTATATGAGAAACAACCATTGATACATTGTAAGTATAAGGTAGTTATGGATGAAAATGGTCCCTAAATTAGAATAACTATCCTATATATTTAAAAACTGTTTCTGATCTGGGTAAAAGTAGCCAGGAGATTTCCTATGTACACCTCTTCTCATAGACTGTAACTCTCTCCTCAGATACCCCAATGATATACAGTGGTGTGAAGACCTAAGAAAGAAGCTTCAGCAGTAAGTGAACTTCTTAATTTTTATAGCAAAGAGAATAATTAACAGTTCAGATATTTGACCTTTGGCTGATATACCATGCAACTTGAGACCACCTTGAAAAAAAATGCTGTATTTTACCAAGTGCATGAATAAGCCAAATCATAAATATTTCCTTCAATGTTGACAGAAGACTGTCATGAATTTAAATATTCAGTCCCTAAGTGATTTCTTATCACGTACCAGTCAATATGTAGGTCCCTTTCATAAAAGTGAACTTGTGAGTTACAATAAGAATTGTAAGACTGGAAACATCCATATACTTACAATACCAAGAAGACCTGAGGTCACACCCTTCAGATCTGACACCTTAAGGATGTGCTTGGGTTGAGTTTTGCAAAATTAGAGGTAACGGATTCCTGGGAAAAGTTGTAATAAGTTTCTAAACAAATTTCTTTGCCTACCCAGAGCCTCATGTGAAGACAACAGGCATATGGTCCCTTGGGGGTTGATGTCACTTTGAGACAGCTGCAGCACCAGCTAAGATTAAAATTTCAGGGCAGAGGAGTGTCTGAATCAAGACCCAGTGTTTAACATGTAACTAATGACATCATTCTCACATGCTCTAAGCACTGGGAATGACCATTATCCCTAGGGACAACATAGTTCCCAATTTTTAAAAAAGTAAGCAGCAGTTTATTTTTTAAAAAGTAGAGATCTTTTTTAAAGAAACTATAATTAATACTTGACCTAGACTTTTTTTTTTTTTTTTTTTACAAAATGGCAGCCTAAGAAATTGTCCTAAAAGAAGCAGAAGCCCCTCAAGATGAGTCACTTAGTAATGAAAGTGAGCATTTCCTGAGTACTCAGTGTGTTTCAGATACTCCCAGTTCCTTCCTTTGTCCCCTTCCAAAATTTCCATCAAGACAATTCTTATTTTCCTTGTTTATTAAAGAGAGGATCTCCCAGTGCTCCCCTCTCCTACTTCTCAGGGAGCTGTCTTCAATCTTCTCCACAACTTACTCAACACACCTCCTGAGCTATTTCACCCATTCCCATCGCGATGATTGCCTTTATCTTCCTTTGGTATGTGGAGCGCCATATCCCCCATCACTAGCTTATATCACAGGTACTTCTAACTCAAGCTTCCAAAATGGTACCTGTTCCTGTCCACCATCCATTAAGGTCCTCAAAAAAGATAAACGGAATTTCCTTTCATATCTTCTTCTTTTATCTCTTTTTATCAGGTACTGATGATTATTTCTTGAAAACGTATCCTCAAGTTCTCTTCATCTCCACTGCCACACCCCAGTCACAGTGAGTAGTCTGGTTATGTGGGAAAGGGCCACAGCCCCTCTGTCCACTCGACTTCAGCACCTCTGTGGTGGACAGCTCCACCTCTGCACACTTTGCCAGGACACTGCACTAAGGGCATGGGTCCCTTTCTTTGCCGTCTCAGGCCTTCTCTGAAGCCATGATCCTTTAGCCACCTAACTGGTGCAAGCCTGACATGTGAAAAACAATTGTCCATCCCGAGGGACAGGAGTCAGGGTATAAATTCTCTGCCTCTGCCTCTCTTTCCTCCAATCCAGTGGGGCAATTATGAGGCCTGTTCTATGCCCACTCTTCTCAAACATTACAAGGCATCAGAATCACCTGAAGAGCTGATTAAACCACACATTGCTGAACCTTGTCTCCAGTGATTCTGACTCAGTAGGTCTGGGGTGGAATCCAAGATTCTGCCTTTCTAATGAGCTCCCGGGTGATGCTGAGGATGCTGGTACAGAGACCACACTTCAAGAACCATTATTCTACGTGATTCCTTAGAGGGCTCCCAGTAGAAATGAGCTCCAGTTGCCCATAGCAGCAACCAGCTCATTAAAGCAACTTTTATTGATTTTTTTCTCCCTTTCTGATTTTATTCTTTCCATTCTGGGATCCAGGAATGACATCCCTAATAAATAACCTGCCAGCCAATTCTGAACCTCACACTCTACTTTCAAGGGAACCCAATCTAAGACAAGGACCATCGTGTCTCTTATTTGAATTTCTTAGCCCCCAACTGTTCTACCTGCCACCAGCTGTCCCACTTGAATTCATTCTTCACAGAGTGACCTTAAAGGATCTGAGACACAAATTGGACGATGTGACTTCCTTGTTTAAAAGCATCCCATATTCCCATTGCCCTTTGGTATAATCCAGACTCTTGGGATATTTTAAAGGATTTTTATGACTTGAACCCCTGGTTTCCAGTTACATTTTGTGACATTCTCTTCTTGTAGGCCTTGCCTCAACCATTCTAAAATGCTGTCTGTTA